GCAGATAACCCGGATAGCACATTTTCTTCTATATACTTTTTAAATTTTTTTACTTCTTTTTTTTTCTTTTTGTTTAGTAGGGATTTACTTCAAGAAATAAAAATATCGGTAATCCAAAATATTGTAAAGGTAGGGTATAAAACCTCTAAAATATGTCAATCTCTTGCACAATGTACATATAATTTATGTGAATAATTTTATTTTAGGATGTTCTATGTTTCAGTGTAAAAGGGTAGGCCCACCGATACTATAGAAAATCAATTTCTTATCTTCATTCTATAGCCGTGACCTAAAGATCTCCTTGAGAATTATCCATTTTGACTTTCGTTTCGTATTATATTATTTTTTCAAAAAAACATTATAAATACCACTTGAGCTCGATGAAGATGTTAAATTATCATTTCAATAATAATATTTTATTCTGTATAATAATATTCATTCTGTCTAATATCAATTGTCACGATGAAGTTAAATTACATCATTTTAATTTCTATTATTGTTATTTTAAATATTTACTTGACAATTGCCTCGCCTGCTCCATTGACTGATCCCTTGACTGATCCCTTGGCTGCTCCCTTGGAGAAAAGGTAATTAATTTGATTTATTGTTTTATCCAACTTGTTATTTGTAACCTTGATCCACATTTTTGACATTGCCTTTCTTAAATTATCAGATGGTAAGAATAGATTTACTATAATGGTTTCCAAATTGTTATTTATTTATTAAAATTTTCATTCGTCTTAAATCATTCTACTTATAACATTATAATGTATATTTTGTTTACTAAATTATTAGCAAGTAAGTGCAAGCAATATTATATTTGTTATAAAATTACTATTGACAATGTTTAAACTTGCATTTTAACAAATGCTTTTGTCAACTTATTAGGCAGTATGTATAAACGACATTACAGTATATTTGTTTAAAATTCTTTAACAAATATTTTGACAAATGCTTTTGTCAAATTTTTAGCACGTAAGTATAGGCTTTATTATGTTCGTTTTTAAAATTTTACTTGATCTTAAATTATGTTATCTATAAATTTATAACCATATTTTTCTTTTATTGAATTATCAGTAGGTAAATAGAAGCTTCATTATATTTGCTTCTAAAATTTTTATTTGATTTTAATGTAAATTATAATGCACATTTTCTTTTGTCGAATTATTAGTTCGTAAGTATAAGCTTTAGTATATTTATTTGTAAATTTTCGTTTGATGATTTTAAATGACCTATTTATGATTTTACAATATATATCTTTTATTGAATGATAAGTCCGTAAGTATTAGTCTTTATTATATTTGTTTTAGATTTTTTTGACTATGTTATTAATAATTTATAAAAAACATTTTCTCTTGTCAAATTTTTAGATGGTATACATAAGTTTTTTATATATTTTTAATATGTATATTTTATTTTAATAATGCTGCTTGCTATTATAACTTTATTATTTAATTTTCTTTTATTATTAAATTATTAGCGGGTAAGTCTAAGCTTTATTATATTTATTTCTGAATGTTTTATTTGATGATTTTAAATAATGTTATTTATAATTTTTTATAATTTTTGATTAATTATTAGCGAGTAAGTATAAACATTATCATTTTAGTTTTTAAATTATTATTGAAAATTTTAAATATACATCTAATAAATATTCTAAAAAATATTTCTATTAATTTATTAGTGAGTAAGTACAAATTTTATTATATTTGCTTCTAAATTTCTCATTTGATAATTTTTATTTATAATTTTATAATGTACCTTTTTATTATATTATTAGCTCGTAAGTATAAGCTTTATTATAATTGTCTTTAAATTTAATAGATGCTATTTATAATCGTATATATATTTTTTTTATTGAATTATTAGTGAGTAAGTATATGCTTCTAAAATTTAATTCGTTTTTAAAATTATACTATAAATAATTCTATAATCTAACTTTATTGCAAATTTCTAGATGGTACGCATAGGCTTTATTATAATTATTTATATATTATTTAATAATTTTAAACTATCTAATGATATATATTTTAACCTATCTAACGATATATATTTTAACAAATACTTTTGTAAAACTATTAGCTGGTAAATATAGAATTTAAGTTTTTAAAATCATTATTTGATAGTTTTTAAAATCATTATTTGGTAACTTTTTTAAAATAAATATTTAACACATACTTCCATCAAATTATTAGCTCGTAAATATAAACATTTTTTTAAATATTATTGTTTACAATTTTTAAAATATGATTGTTCACAATTTTTAAAATATGTATTTTACAATACTTAAACAAATATTTTAATCAAATTATTAGTGGGTAAGTATAGGCTTTATTATATTTGACTCTAAAATTTTGTGTTTTAAATAATACTAATTATAAATTTATAACATACATTTTCTTTTATTAGATAGTAAGTATAAGCTTTATAAAGTTACTAAAATTTTATTTGATTTTTATATTATGCTATTTATAATTTATAATATATATTTTCTTTGTCAATTTATTAGTTGGTAAGTATTAATTTTATTATTAAAAATTTATCACCCAGATAAATCTTTTGCTACCTAAAAAAATGCATTTTAGTATCTTGCTATACAATGCTGCATTTTGCAACATATATATCAAATAATGTTGAGAATATAATTTATAAACTCACATGGTATCGAATATAGTGATTTTAATTGATTTAAATTTTTTATTATGTAAAAATTTGGATCACACTGAATACTTTGTACAGCGATATATGGTAGCTTTAATAAAGTTATATATAAAATTTTGCTAAATTTTGTTACAACTAATGTTGCAAATTTATTGGTTAAACTAAGAGGTAATACTACAATCTGGGTGTTAAATAAATAAATTTATCTTTAATACTTAATAATATTATTTTTAAAATATGCATTCACTAAATATTTTAATAAATGTTTTTTAAATTATTAGCCCGTAAGTAAACTCTTTATTATATTATATTTATTTTAAAATATTCATTTTAACAAATGCTTCTGTTAATTTATTAGAGCGTAAGTATAAACATTTTTTTTAGCAATATATAACTGACAAATACTTTAACAAATGTCTCTATCAAAATTATTAGTTGGTGAGTATATAATTATATTTATTTTTAAAATTATTTATCTTAAAATATGCATCTGGCAAATGCATCTGGCAAATGCTTTAACAAATATATTTGTAAATTATTAGCTTGTGAGTATAAGCTTTATATTTATTTTACAATTATTATTGCTCTTAAAAGATGCATTTAATAAATATTTATCAAATACCTCTGCCAAATTATTAGTATGTAAGTATATGCTTTATTTTTAAATTTAAATTATTATTAATGATCTTAAAAAATGTATCTGAAAAATATTTAAACAAATACTCTGTCAAATTATTAGTTTGTAAGTATACACTTTTTTATCTTAAAATATATACTTAACAAATACTTAAACAAATACTTTTGTCAAATTATTAGCTGGTATGTATCCACTTTATTTTATTTTTAAATATTATTTGTAATATTAAAATATGCTATCTACAAACTTACTTATAATTCTATTTTTTTAAATCATTAGGGGGTAAGTATATAATTTAGTATATTTGTTTTTAAATTTTTATTTAATTTTTAAATTACATATTTTCTATATCTAATGATATATATTTTACCAATTTTCTGTGTTAAATTATTGGTGAGTAACATAAACTTAATATATAATTATAAGTTGTTAATTTTCAATTTATACATTTTATCTAACAATATACATTTTTAACAGAAGGTGTTGTCGTCCCACATAATAGAGTCTTTTAATATATTAATAAATTTTGATGAACCAAGTGGTTCTTATATATGGATTGCTAGTGTAGAGTGGTAATGTGAGATAGCTGCTTGATTTTGACTTTCTGGGTTTTAACTCTTTTTACTTTATTTTTTTTTCTTTTTTTGTTATTATTTTTATTTATTTTTTATTTTGTATTCAAATTTTTTTCTATTATTTTTTTATTAATTTATTAATTTTTTGGTTTAATATTTGTTTGTTAATTATACATACCACCAAAATAGTTTTTCGAAAAATCCCTATTTCATCCCCATAGAGCAAATTAGAATTTTTTATATGCAAGAGCAAATCTAATTTAGCTAGTTATGTTTCTTATAATTTCGTTTCTTCAAAAAAAATATCAAAAATTTTGTTTTTAAGTAAAATAGTTTAAAAAAATTTCGTCTTCAAATTTTAATTTTGGATTTTAGATCTCAAAATAATTTTGTCGGTATATATAATTTAAACGTGCCTAAATTGCACAAAAATATTAACAAACAATGCTAATTATTTGAGAGTCACCAGGTTAAACTAAGTCTAAAAATATAATTCTTTATAAATGTAATGCAGGCTTTTGATCGATTCAATTAGAATAATTAGTTGTACTGATTTTTAATTATCATTTAAAACATAAATTCCGTTGTTTAAAGAATCCTACTTCTAGACTTTCTGGCTTTCATTTGTTGGCGCATTAATTTTAATTTATTCAAAATCCGGCTATTGTAAAATTTGTTGAAAAGCAATTCTCAATTATAAAAATGAAGTGCAAAACTAGAAAATCCATACAGTGTAATGAATTTTTTGAATTTTCATAATCCACATTCAATTTACGTTTTATTGAATTATCCTTAGTTTTTAATATAAAATTACAATTTATCGCCAGTGGTGATTATCACCATATATAAGTTTTTATTAAATTTAGGGTTAGGGTGCAATTTTAGACCAAGACAGTGGTTAGATATAATAGTCTAAATATTATATTATACAAGGTTTTTGGGTGTTCTGAACATTTTTACTTAACCTACCTGACCCCTGTTTCTTAGTCCCGTTTTTGAGATATAGCAATACTGGTGATGATCACCAGTGACGATAAATAGCAAACTCCTTTTTAATAGCATTTATTAACATTCTTAACAGTTAGGACAAGAAAACGAAATTTTATAAATAAATTATATAGTTTGAGTTATAATTTAGATTTGGTAAAAGATTCATTGACTTGCTTAGCAAATTCATCATCAATTAAAAAGTCTAATCCAACTAAAGTCATACCACTCGTAGCTTTTATAGTTTCTTCATAAGCAGTTTTTTGTTTTGCATTCTGAGGTAAATTCTCTTTGATGATTAACTGTAGGAACAGGTGTACAAATATCATATAATGGATGAAATCCAGATACCAAGTAAGTTACATTTCCCTGATCAGTGAATCTGCTAGGAACGGTAGCCAAACTTCTTTTGGTGGAAATGTGATATCAAATTTTTTTTGAAAGATAGTGTTCGTAGCGCGCAGCAAGAGGTTCATTTATATCCACATCTATAATAGATAATTAGATTAAATTATTTATAATTTAATTTATGATAATTGATGAATACTTATTATATTTATGAAGATACCATAAACTTCTTTTGACCATGTAATTTTTACTGTAGTCCCAGTAGCTTCTGCTGCTGCTTCAAAGCACTTGTGCACACGTGGTTGGAGTGCTTTCAAATCTTCCATTGCCTTTCCACGAATATAGAATGTACCGGATGTATATTCCGGAATAACTATAAAAAAAACATGTGAAATTTTTGATTATGATCTTTAATTTTATTTTAAAATCGGTGGAAATATACTACAGACCGTTAGGAGCATTTCCTCCATTAGTAATTATTCCATGAATTCTAAAAATATTCACTACCAGTATTAAATATGAAGTCGCCATAAAAAAATAAATATAATAATCGACTTATACCTGTCTGTAGGCAGAATTTGCTGTCTTAACAATCCAATATTATTATAAGCCAATACCATTGCATCTAATGCATTAATTCCTATTATTTTATTTTAATTTTTGTATACAAATTGACTAATTATTAACCCTTCAAACAAGAGATGTAAAAAGTAAAAAACGGAATTTTCATATTACCAAGATGAGGCATTGCTGATAATTGATTAAACAACAGATAAATATTTAATAAATTTAAAAAAGAAAAAGAAATCATATAGAATACTTATTAAAAAAATTAAATAAAATAAAATTTTTACCCAAGCATGTGCAGGTTTTCAAAATATTCAACGTCTACAGTCTGGATTGCTAAAAATTTATAAAACCTCCATTTATCACACTAATAAATTAATAAAATTATTGTGATTATGAATTGAAATAAATATATAGCAGAAATTAAATGCTAACGTAATATTACCTTGGATGAACCATTAGTGAAATATCAACACCTTCATATGCACCGGCTTTAATTAAATCGGTTTTTCCGCTACCCTTTTCTTAAAAATGTAATATGTTGTTGTATATTGCATTTTTAAATTAATAAATAAAAAATAAAAATCTAAATACCTTCTGCAGGGATCCCAAATAACTTTACTGTTCCTTTAATGTTAAATTTCTCAAGAACTGCTTTGAGACCAATTGCAGCACCTACTCCACTAATTGCGATGAGATTATGTCCACAAGCATGACCAATGTCTGGTAAAGCATCATACCTAACATATAAATGTTACAAAATCTTTTATAAGAGAGAAGTTAATACTTATTTTAAAATAGCTAATGTTACTTACTCTGAATTAAATGAAACAACACGGCCTTTCCCGGCCTTAGATTGAAACTCAGCTACAAATGCAGTTTCTAAACCTAAAGCGCTCAGTGTTACTTTAAACCCTTTCTCATGCAAATAATTAACTAATAATTTATGTGCATATTTTTCTTCGTATGCCAATTCAGGATTTTCGTGTATCTGTGTATTTAAAATAGTTAAAATTAAAGCTTATAATCGCTTTATTAAGATGGAATTACCTTTATGCTTATTTCATGAAGCTCTTCAGAAATATCTTCAATGGCTCTAAGAGCTGTATCAGCAAACTTAGATGTCCGTTCATTATTAGAATTAAATGTTTTGGTATTTTGTTTCATTAGGAGTAAAAGCTCAGTACTGTATCACAAATTTGTACTTATTATGAAGAAAAGAGTGAAAATCTTCGCTTATCGGAGGATATTTAATGTTAATGATGGTGATACAAAGTTACGTTTTTGATGAATCATAGCTGCGTTTTATACTGTACACCAATCTGGGGATGGATGAACTTATTATTATGAATTGATTTACTGGAAATTAAGTCGGTTAAATCACCAGAATAACCCGTCATTTACATGCTGTCCGGATAACCCTGATTGTAACAAAATAATTGCATATAGTATTAGAAATATTTTTCTTAAGAAATTTCCACAAAATAATCCCAAATGAATAAGTATCCACATCATTTGTGCAATAAAGATTCTAATACAAAACAACTTTACAGTACTATAAGTTGGGTTTTAACATGTGTACTGTATTATAATTAGATTAATAATAAAACATTAAATATTTACCTCTTTGAATTTCTTGCAACTATTTTTTGATTCATGAAATAATTTACAACTATATCAATATTAATACCAGTGTGTTTTGAAAGATCTAAAGTTAGTGTGCCAATAGTTTCATGTGAATTGACTTCATGTAATCAACGTATAGATATCGGATACGAAAGAGACGTACTGTATTAGATTTGGCAAGTGGCGTAACATAATTTCGAGATATAATTTGTACTACTTCGAGGTTATCTAACAATCAAGTTCAAATTATAGCCACAGAGTGAAATAGTAATTGCGCTAAAATTTGGCGGTACTATGACCATCGATCGATAAGACATATTTATTGATAAGCGTAACGGCCGAGAACTATAAAAAAATTGATCACAGCGTTATGACATAAAAAAAATATACTGTATAACTAAGTCTGGAAGAAGGTCGAGCTAGAAACTAGTTGCAGCTGTGTCTAGCTAGGGCTGTGAAGTTATCGTAATTTTGCGTAATCTTATGTAAGTTTCGGTAAAATGGTTTGTATGCAGAATCTATTGTAGTCCAATAGTGCTAGCTTAAAATCCATGTTGCCAAAACTTACGCAAATTACATGAATGTAATATTATAAAATGTAATTTTCAACCCTAGCTGTGTTAAAAATATTTAAGCTCCGATTTTTAGATAGAAATAAAGCCGCAAGCCATAATTTATACCGCAATCCGAAGCAAAAACCGAAAGCTAAAATGCGCGCCATAACCTAAATTGACTGCCACAACTTTGTATTATAAATTTTAATAGCGGTAGTTATTATATAACTGATAAGCGTACATTATTGGACAGACGAC